ACATGAAGCTACTTTATTCTGTAGCTGGTTTTAATGGAAATATTGTGTTGCTGTAGAATCCTATTTGAAGTGTTCTTTATCTTCTGCAATGTTTTTCATTTGCAGTGCTTCAAAAAAAAAAGAAAGAAAGAAAAACTCTCAGAAGAGCTATGTACCCAAGAGAATCCAAAGCACAACTGGAGGATGAGGATGAAGGTAAGTCATACATCTTGTCACAGTTTGTAGATTGTAAACATGATTTATTGTCTTTCCATCTTAGTAATACCTCAATAATAAATGGCTGGATGTTCTTGGTAATGAAATATGAATATGTCAATGATATTTAATTTTTTGGTAATAACAGCAGAAAGTCCTGTATTTTAACATATTTATAATGAGATATATTTAGAACTGACACAACACTACTGTGCAGTTTTAATAAGCTATTGCGCAGTACATGTCACTAGGCAACTGTGCTAGGACACTACTGCACAGTACCACCAGTTACTGCGCAGTCATTTAGTAGTCAGTTATGTAAGTACTAAATGACTATACAGTAACAACTGTGCAGTGGGCAGCTCATGTAGACATGCCCTGTGTTTGCTAGAGATAGTTGAGGGTAGAAGAAAAAATGGTGTACAGAGAAATTCTGAGCCAGATTCTTGGCTGGTGTAAAATAAAAACTGTAGTTTTATAAAGGTCCCTGGCACTATGCTGTTTACACTGTAGATGCCCATTGCTAGTTTTGCTATGCAATTAGTTGTGAATGCCCATCAATTTAGTCTGTAAATTCCTTTGTTTGCTGTTGTAGATAGTCCCAATTCCTTCTTAGGGAGAAAATGGTTAGTTGTTGGTTTTTTGTGTTTTTAAAATTAGAGATGGAACAAAACTGTTGGGTTTTTGTGATCTGGAGCTATTTATCTAGGTATGTATGGTCCCTACTTACAGCCCTTATCAAATGTAACTTCTTGTCTCCCTAGTTTTTATAGCTTTTGGCTGGAAGGATTTAGCTTTGGGTCACTTTAAAAGTTATGTTGTGCTTTATAGGCTGCTGGCAGCAAGACCCATCAAGAGCATTCCTGGGATTCTAAAAAAGGCCTCAGGGGAATACTCTGTTCTGTCAGGAAGAAGGATGGTGCCAGGGAGAAGAGGGGATGAGCTGCATGGTCCATAAAGCTAAGGGAGTATCCCTAGAACTCTCACTGACCAAGTTATGGGCTGAGATGAACAGCTGATTAGTAGCTTGTATCTGAAAGCTTTTCATGCCTACAAATTGTTTTATCTAGCAGTGCTATTTGAGAGATACATGTAGCTGAAGTGGGCCTCTTCTGTGGCTGAAGGGCTTGAATGGTGAGCTGGGAACCAAAAGACGGTTCAAGTCGGTGTGGGCAAGTGATCTTAAGTTTCAATTTATATTTGTGGGGCTGGGGTGGCATGAGCACTAAGGTACACAGTTAACAGCCCAGAGATCACAAGTTTGAAGTAATAGCAGAAGCACTCATAGTGCAGTCTGTTGGATCCCATACTAAATGTCATTGTTAAATACCTTGTCACAAGGACATGAGAAAAGAAGGAACATACCTAGTACAGTACAGATTTTTTTTTTATGTCACATTGCCAGATCCCCTGCCATTGTCTCTGCTTGCACCTGTGAGGTTTCTTTCCAGGCAGGACTGTTCATCACTGATGCCTCCACCCAGGTTCAGGTTTGGCCCAGTGGGGACTATGGCTTGAGGTTCCTTCAAGTGACGGCCAGGTCAGGAAGTGCCTGCAGTGTGAGCAGTGCCTCCTGGTGGTGTCTCTCAGGGAACAGGCAAGAGAGCTATAGGAGAAGGGGGCAAGGCTCCGAACCATCTTCTACCATGACGTGTTCACCAGTTGGATGCCGGAGGAGACCTCCGGGACAATAGAGGAAGAAATGCCAGATGCAGCACTAGAGAAAAGATAGGACATGGACACCCAAGGGGGTGGAAGCTGGAGGCTTGTGAATTCTGGCAGCAAGCAGAGATCTTCACCTCCACCTGCAGTGGTTCATTTGGAGAACAGATATGTGGCCCTAGCAGCAGAGATGGAGGAGCACATTCCATTGGTGGAGGAAGATAGGCCAGGCCTCATCAAGGTGGGAAGGATTGAGACGACTGCCACCAAGAAGAAGTGATGGGTGGTGGTGGTTGGAGACTACCTTCTGCAGCTGACCTCACCTGTTTTCTCAGGAAATCTATTGCTTGCTCAGACCCCAGATCCAAGATGTCACAGAGGCACAACTGAGTCTCATCTGGCCCTTTGACTACTACCCAATGTTGCTTATCCATGTGGGCACCAGTAATACTGCCTGGGGAGACTCTGAGCATATCAAAAGTGACTACAGGGCTCTGGGGGCAAGACTGAGGGGGTCTGGGGCTCAAGTTGTGTTCTCATCTATCCTTCTGGTCAAGGGAAAGGGCCTGGACTCCGGGAGCAGGTGCATCCTGCAGATCAACACCTGGCTGCACAGGTGGTGTCACTGGCAGGGCTTTGGCTTCTACAACCATGGAATGTTTTTCAAGGAGAAGGATTGTTGGAAAGAGATGGGATCCACCTGACAAAGAGAGGGAAGAGCTTCTTCCCAAACAGGCTCGCTAACCTAGTGAGGAGGGCTTTAAACTACAGTCGCCAGGAGATGGAGACCAAAGCCCTGAGGTAAGTGGGGAAGTGAGAGACCTGGAGGAAGAGCAAGCAGGAAGGGGCAACAAAGGAGGTGTTCTCATTCTTCCTGAGAAATCAGAGCAATCAACTAGTTACCTCAGGTGCCTGTACATGAATGCACAGAGCCTGGGAAACAAGCAGGAAGAATTGCAAGTCCTTGCACAGTCATGGAACTATGATGTAGTTAGAATAACAGACTTAGTGGGATAGCTCATGTGACTGGAGCACTGTCATGGGGGAAGAAACTGTTCAGGAAGGACAGGCAGGGACAAAGAGGAGGAGGAGTTGTACTTTATGTAAAAGAGCCATATGATTGCTCAGAGCTCTAGTATGAAACTGGAGATAGGCCTGTTGAAAGTCTCTGGGTTGGGATCAGAGGGGAAAGCAGCAAAGGTGATGTTGTGATGGGTGTCTGCTATAGACTGCCAGACCAGGAGGAAGTGGTGGAGGCTTTCTTCAAACAGTTAGTGGAAGTTTCTCAATCACAAACCCTGGTTCTCATGGGGGACTTCAATCACCCTGACATCTGCTGGGAGGGCAATACAGCAGTGCACAAGCAATCCAGGAAGTTTTTGGAAAGTGTTCAGGACAACTTCCTGGAGAAAGTGTTGGAGAGGCCAGGTAGGGGCTGTGCTCTTCTTGACCTGCCACTCAGAAACAGGGAAGAATTGGTGGGGAATGTAGTAGTGGATGGCAACTTGGGCAGCAGGGACCACAAGATGATTGAGTTCAGGATCCTGAGGAAAGGAATGAAGGAGAGCAGCAGAGTATGGACCCTGGACTTCAGAAAAGCAGACTTTAACTCACTCAGGAAACTGATGGGCAGGATCCCCTGGAAAGCCAGTCTAAGCGGGAAAAGGAGTCCAGGAGAGCCGGTTGTATTTTAAAGAAACCTTATTGAGGGCTCAGAAAGAAACTGTCCCAATGTGCAGGAAGACTAGCAAGTATGGAAGAAGACCAGCTCAGGCATGCAGGGATGAAGTCAGGAAGGCCAAAGCCTAATTGGAGTTGCAACTTGCAAGGGATGTGCAGGGTAAGAAGAACGGTTTCTACAAGTATGTCAGTAATAAGAGGAGGATCAGGGAAAGGTGGGTCCCTTACTGAATGAGGGAGGCAACCTTGCGACAGAAGATGCAGAAGAGGCTGATGTGCTCAATGCCTTTTTGCCTCAGTCTTCACAGGCAAGGTCAGCTCCCAGACTACTGCATTGGGCAGCATGGGGGCGGGGGGAAGTGAACAGCCCTCAGTGGTTAAAGAACAGGGTAGGGACTACCTAGAAAAGCTGGATGTGTATGTGTCCATGGTTTCGGATGGGATGCATCCAATGGTGCTGAGAGAGTTGGTTGCTGTGATTGCGCAGACATTGGCCATTATCTTTGAAAATTCATGGCAATCAGGAGAGGGTCCCGGGTGACTGGAAAAGGGCAAACATGGTGCCCATGTTTAAGAAAAGGAAAAAGGAGGATCCAGAGAACTATACACCAGGCAGCCTCACCTCAGTCCATGGAAAAATCATGGAGCAGATCCTCAAGGAATCGATTTCTAAGCAATTGGAAGAGAAAAAGGAGATTAGGAACAGTAAGCATGGATTCACTAGGGGCAACTCATGCCTGACCGACCTGATTGCCTTTTATGATGGGATGACTGGATCAGTGGATGCAGGAAGACTGGTGGATGTGGTGTACCTTAATTTTAGCAAGGCTTTTGATATGGTCTCCCACAACATTCTTGAAAGGAAGCTAAGGAAGTCCAGGCTAGATGAATGTACTGTAACGTGGATAGAAGACTGGCTGGAGTATCAGGCTCAGATAGTAGTAATCAATAGGCCTGTGCGAATAGGGAAGTATTTGATTTGGAGTCAGCCAATTTGGAAGACAGTGATTCAGTTTGGGTATTCGGATCATTGTCCTGAATCGATTTGGCTGAATCGGCTTCAGAAGATTCGGCACTGATTCAGAGAGATTCGGTGATTCAGATCGGCCAGGCAGAGGCAGGTACAGCTGGCCATGGCTCCTCCAGCTGTACCTGCCTCTCCCCAGGTGGGGACAGCCCCTCTGGCTGCCTTGCCCAGCTTCCTGGCACAAAAAAAACCCAAAAAACCTTGCACTCACCGGCTCTTGCAGCAAGGATTGGGGCCTGTGAGGTCTCGTGACAGAGCCCCCCCATGCAGTGCGGGGCAGTAGGGGTAGCGGGTATTGCCCCCCCCACTTGGCACAGGTGCAGCAGCTGCCCCATGGCACGGGTGCAGCACAGCTCGGCAGGGCACTGTATGCTGTCTGGGAGCTGGGACTGAGTGGTGCTGAACTCCGGCTGACAGTTGGAGCTACCCCAGTTCCCAGGCAGTGAACAGCATCCTGCTGAGCCATGCTGCACCTGTGCCATAGGGCAGCTGCCACGATCTCCACTGCCCCTCACTGCCCCATGCTGTGTGGGGGGCCTCTGCCATGAGACCTCAGAGGCCGCAGTGGCCACTGCCAGAGCTGGTGAGTGTGGGGCTTATTTATTTTGGGGGGTTTTTTTAAGCGCTGGGAGGCTTAGCTGGGTGGAGGATGATGCCAGGCAGGGCAGTCATGAGGGCTTCTCCTGTGGCTCCTCTGGCTGTACCTGCCTCTGCCCCAGCTATGGGACAGGGCTATGACCTGCTGCTGCTTGCCAGGCTAGTATGGGGGGGCGGGGATGATGCAGGCATGGCTCACTCCTGGTGGCAGCAGGGCAGAGCCCCTACTCCTAGTGCTGCTGTGCCCACATCAGCAGTGGGAGCAGGGGCTCTGCCCTGCTGATGCTTGCCAGCCAGTGCAAGGGGGCACAGGATGTGGGCATGGCAGTGCTGGGAGTGGGGGCTATGCCCAACTGCTGGTTGCCCCTTCCGCCTGGAGTAAGCTGCACCTGCATCCCACCCGCTCCACCCTGGTGGGCAAGCGGCAGCAGGGCATAGCCCCCATGGCTCCCCCTGCCAGGGCAGAGGCAGGTACAGCCAGAGGAGCCACGGGAGAAGCCCCCGCGCCTGCATCCCATGCCCCACTCCCCTCCCTGAGCAATGCGCCCCACCCCCTGCCCCGGCTGGGTAGCTTGTCCCAGCTGTGGCCCCAATCCCTCTTTTCCCCATGCCCCTTCCCTAACCCCAACAGACTTACCAGCTGGAGGCAGCTGTGTCAGCTGCCTGTTTAGTCTATGGCCAAATCTACAAAGTGGCTGAATCTTTTCCGAAGCTTTCCAAATCAATTTGGATGCTTCAAATCAATTTGGAGCTTTTAATTGGTTTTCCGATTCAATTCAGATTCAGAGATTCAGTCCCTGAATTGGGCCGAATCTCCTCTGAATTCCTTCACCTACTGAAGCTTCGCACAGCCCTAGCTAGTAATCAATGGCTTGATGTCTAGTTGGCAGCTGGTAATCAAGTGGAGTGCCCCTGGGGTTGGTCCTGGGGCTGTTTTTGTTCAATTTTTCCATTAACAAACTGAAAAATGGCATAAAGTATACCCTCAGCAAGTTTGCAGATGACCTAAAGTAAGCTGGGGGGAGTACTAGATCCACTGGAAGGTAGGGCTAGGTTTCAGGGTGACATAGATATATTGGAGGATTGAGCCAAAAGAAATCTCCTGAGGTTCAACAAGGAGAAGTGCAAAGTCCTGCACTTAACATGGAACAATCCTATGCACCAGTACAGACGGGGGGCTGACTGGCTGGGAAGCAGCTCTGCAGAATAAGACCTGGGGATTACAGTGATCAATAAGCTGAATATGAGCCAGCAGTGTACCCTTGTTGCCAGGAAGGCTAATGGCATACTGGGCTGCATTGGTAGGTATATTGTCGGTAGGTCAAGGGAAGAGATTATTCCCCTCTATTCAGTACTGGTGAGGCCACATCTAGAGAGTCATGTGTTCAGTTTTGGGCCCCCCACTACAGAAAAGATATGGACAAATTGGTGAGAGTCTAGTAGAGGGTGACAAAAATGGTTAGGGGACTGGGGGACATGATTTATGAGGAAAGACTGAGG